CATTGACTGCTATGCTTTGTAAATTAACAATTGTTGGTTGATGCAGGTTCTGACACCAGCATTATGGACTTCTCAAGACATCAGTTGCATAATGTGTCCAAAATATGATAATTTGTGCCTGGTCATTTGTTCCTCCAATGAGAACTCTGGATGATCCATTTGTTTTCTTATCAGTCAAATATTTTTCCATGACACTCCATTTAATCTTTAGTGGATCATTCCGAATCCTCTCTTGTAGGGGTTTATTATCACTTTTCTTTCTGCATTTTTACAAATCTTGGGACATCTTAGACTTCCTCTCGTGCATGGAAAACTCTGTTTTAGCAACCTAAGCATTGGCTCTTGTGCCTGATCGTCAAATACTGAAACAATCATTAAAACATTCAGCAGCATGACTTCTTATAATGAATGTTTACCTATAATATTTTGGCCACCTTTAAAATAACTCACCAGAATACGGCCTACAGAAGTCTGGGCTGAGATCATTGTTAACACCACGTCTTGAAACCGTCCTTTCCAGAACCTCAGCAAGGGCATTTTACTGGTAAACAGCTATCAAGATAAAAATAAATGTTAGACTTTATGCTGCTTGTCTATGTTAATATAAGGGTATTATTTAATTGACTTTGGTTCAGTGCCAAACTGAACTGCAATTTTTTGAAAGCTATTCTCATTCAAACAGATTTATTTAATGATTTAGCTATTGCACCCCACAATTCAATCCCAAAGTTACTCCCTTCTCGTGAGTTTTTTATGATTATGAACCATGGAGTATGGGCATCTGGAAAGGGATGGAGAGAAATGCCCCTAAAGAAACACCCACAACAAAATGCCAGTACCCCATCACACTGTTATAGTAGAAAACAGAATCAGAAACCTATTTGCCAAAAAGAAAATTAAAAGGTATCAGGAAATGGAAGGGTATCCTGATCCGTCATTTTATAGTTACTGTATATATCCTACTTCTCTTTCCAAGTTTGGTGAAGTTCAAATGGTGATATTGTAGGGTTTGTTCTCTTCAGGGGAGAGAGAGTGGGGGTCCACAGGTAACTAGGGAATATTGTAAATAAGCAATGAATACCAAATGGATACACCAACAATATGTAATCAAAGTACTGATCCTCCATCAGAATTCTCAGAAGATCCCCTGCACCCAAGATATTTCATTTCTATTACATGTAACTGTCTATCAGATTTTTAACTTCATGTATAAACTGTGCAATACTCAGACATATAATCATAGTAGAGTTTTCAGCCACATAGTCTTCCCTTTTCCATGACTTACAGAGTACCCTTACCTGAAATCGAATGGAATATCTAAGGAAGCAGCAACCTGATATGTATTTGATTACCCTGACCATCAAGATGATAATGATACCTCCCACAAAAATAGACAGGCAAGAAGTGATAAAGGCCAGCTGGACATAATCAGTACAGTGGCCTCCGTACTCTTCAGACCAGTTGTCTATGAACTGAGCAGCACTTATGACTACTGGCTTCCTGCTCATTTTTCCACTTCCTTTTTGTTCCCTTGGGGAGTTCTAAGAAATATCATTCCTTTGTAGAATCTTTATGATGTCACTGCCACTATACAGATTACAGTGTCACTGTCACAGAGACAGAGAGAAAGAGAGAGATAGAGAGAGATAGAGAGAGAGACCTTGCAGGTCCATCAATATCACATAGAAGCCATAGGCTTGAATAGAAAATTAGTTTCCCTCCAGATGTTTTGTGCTATATGTTACATTATTCCTATCCAGTTGGCAGATAGGCCAAGACTTATTCTCTTTACATTTATTTACATAATGTTTATCCATGATAAGCATGCTTAAAGAGGCTTTTAGCATTCAGAGTTTATCAGCTTTCCAATATGCATGCAGGTAATCCTCACTACTTGACTGCTTAGTTTAGTGACCGTTTGAAGTTACGATGGGGTAAAAAAAAAAAAACAGCTTTGCAACCAACCCTCACATTTATGACCATTGCAGTGTCCCATAGTCATGTGATTGCCATTCAGGTGCTTTGGAATCAGTACGCATTTACAACTGTCACAGCATCCCGCAGTCATGTGATCATTGTTCACATGCTTCCCAACTGGCTTGTGACAGGCAGAGTTAATGGAGAACATGGAAGTAAAATCGTAAGTCGCAGTTACATGCTGTCTTGCTTAATGACTGAATGGGAAATGATGTAAACCCATTGTGGTCATGTGATTTTCCATCTGTGGCGCTTAGCAATGGAGCTGCCAGTCCCAAATGTGTTAGCTAAGCAAGGACCACCTGTATCACATTATGAAATAACAACATTGAAATGGAAGTATACCTACTTTACAATTACACCCCCCCCCCCAGTAGAAACACTTTGAACTCCAATGGTTTCAGGATTTCTTTAGGAAAAACAGCTTTTTGAACACAAGTCAGAACCCTACCTTTCAAGACAGAAGCAGGCACAGGAATCATTTCTTTAAAATTCATACCTAATAAAGTAGCCTGGGGAAGAATTATGCCTAACACTATTTCCATAACTGAAGTGGCTTTGCAACAATTATTGCTAACTAGTCAAGTTATAAAAGGAATTTTGCAGACAATTGTGTAGAAGCAGTTGAAATCCTTGCCCCTGGGGTAGGAAGGAGGATTCAAAGATTTTCCTATTATGGGACAAACAACATCCACAAGTGAAAACTGATTTAACATTCAAAAATGATAAATCCATGTTTTTGTCAAGCAAATTGCACTTTTCAAAGCTATATGAGGTGGCTGTGGAGTTCATTCTAGGTTTGTTAACCATTAAAAGCCTGGTACACTTACAGTAATACCAGTTGTTGTTACTGAACACAGAGATTGGTTCCCTGACCTGACACTTCTTGGAAATTTAATACTTTTTTCCCCATTTCTCCACAGCTCCATTAATTATTTTAGAAGTGCAAAAAGAATTAACAGATCATATGTCACATCTGCTATGGCTCATAGGCAGAAGGACAGGACTTCACCAACCACAAGAAGGAAAAAAAAAAAAAGTATTATATTCTACAAATTGCTAAATAAAGCACAACAGCCCACTTTTCTCTATTCAAGCTTTGAAGACCATTTGCAGCTGCTGGGATCATACGTGCTAGTTAGCTCAACCATCTTACACCCTACTGAAATGTAATCTCATCAAACCCTCTAGGATTCCTGAAAAGATTTAAAAAAAAAAACAACGAAATTCTTTATGTAGCTGATGGAAGAATAATATTGCAATCAGGTTCCTCTTCATGCAATCAGAACAGCTGAGTGGGAAAGTGGTGATTTTGTCTGAAAAGAGGACACAGGCCCAGGCAAGCTAAGCAGCAAAACAACAGCTCACTCCCTGGCATGGGAGGTGGTGGGAACAAATAACACAATATGGTGGGCTTCAAATGCAGTGATTAACCAAAGCCCTTTCTTCTTTCTTTCTTTCTAAAAGCCAAAGAGGTCCAATTGCAGTCAGAGCATCTGGATACAGCAAGAAAGGCAATGAATAATGTGCCAATGGCAGCCATTTTGCAACTCTGAGAAAATGATTCTTCTCATTCATCTGAAGGGCATATGTGGAGTCTTTCTGACTAACAGCATAATTATAATCATCTCTCCTTTATAGATAGCTTAATACACCAACCAGCATCTGCTAAAAAAGTTCCAGCATTTAGCCCAAATGCACAACACTCACAAGGATGCCTTTAGGGCTTATTGTAAAGGTTATGATTCATTTTGTGAAGATATTATCATTGATAATGCAAAATGTACTCTCTCCAAAGATGCAGGTGAATCAGACTCCCACATCCTAACCCTGCTTAAGATGTGTTAGGACTGCAGCTCTCAGAATTCCAAACCATAAGAGTTAAGAATTCTGGGAAATGCAGGTCCAAACCATCTGGAAGACACCAGGTTGGAGAAGGTCAAGAGAACAAGAGAAAGTCTCTTCTTGTCTTGTCCCTCTAGCATCAGTCTAGTCAGTCTATATGATCATATCCATCTATTTGTTGTAAAATGTAGTCCAGAAGTCCATTTCTAGAGAATAATCACCTTGATCTCAATAGCAAATACAGGGCATCTAGAAACGTGCTCCCCCCCCCCAAAAAACAAAGTTTCCCCCTTAACTGAGATTCTCCAAGGATAGGACCTCATGTCATCTCTGGGCTACAGGAAAGTTGCCTATGATTCATGATCCAAGGCATTATTAGAGTTGATATCAAAGGGGCAGCAAACAAGAAGCCATTCATAATGTACATGACAGACCAAAGAAAAGCTAGTGTCAGCTTGCTTCAAAAAGATTGCTTCTGTGCTAATTCGTAACCAATTAAAAACTTAAATAGAGCTGCTGTTAATGTGGTCTGGAAGCTCATAAGCAAAGGAATAAATAAAATGTATTTATTTGATTTATATCCCACTCTTATTTGTCCAACTGAAGGCAGCATACATAGTGCTCTTTTCTCATATTTTCCCTACAACTGTCCTGTCCAGCAGCAATGTATGGCTGTGAGATCTGTACCATAAGGAAGGATGAGTGCCAAAGAACTGATGCCTTTGAATTGTGGAGAAGACTCTTAAGAGTC